GGAAAACCATCACAGAGGCTGGCCATAAGAAGAACACATACTGTCTGTGGGCAGGGGCGAACTGGCCATCTGGCAGACCGGGCACTTTCCCGCTGGGCCGACGTACTTTTTGGGCCGGGCTGATCATCGTCTTATGATCTGATCGGCCCATAAAAGGCTTAGCAGCCTATCGTTTTTTTTTTTTTTTTTTGCCTTATTAATTGACGCTGCTGTGATCTGTGACTCTCTAAAAGTAAGACGCTTTTTTCCCGGACAGACAGACTGGGCCGGCCATTTTGACACTCTGCAGCCCATTGGCTCTTTTCTGTATTGACATTGGGCTGGCCCAATCACAAACTCCTATTTTGGACTCTGTGTGAGCGTGCGTCGTCTGCGTGTATTTGTCAAAATAGTCGAGAGTCAGAGAGAAGAAACAGAAGGGAGGCGCATAGAAATCACGGGAAATACACCGGCGTTTCATTTAGCGGTTCTGAAAAGTTCTCCCTCCATTCTAGTACACGGCTAAAAACGCAAATCACGTGACCACACACTCTCTGCCAAGAGCTGCAGCCAGTAGTTCCCAGTTCAGCGAGTGAGCATAAACCCCAGGTGAGAGTATAGTGCAGGGGTCACCAAACTTGTTCCTGGAGGGCCGGTGTCCTGCAGATTTTATCTCCAACCCTAATCAAAAACACCTGAACAAGCTAATCAAGCTCTTACTAGGTATACTTGAAACATCCAGGCAGGTGTTTTGAGGCAAGTTGGAGCTAAACCCTGCAGGGACACCGGCCCCCCAGGACTGAGATTGGTGACCCCTGGTATAGTGCATGTCGGCGGCTGGCCTGACCGCAGTCACAAACTGGTACGCGTACCACAGTTTGAGAACCACTGCTCTAGCGTAGATTTACATTTAAATTTAGTCATTTAGCACAATGGTTCTCAAAGTGGGGGTCGGGCCCCCCTGAGGGGTCGCGGAACAATGAAGGGGGGGTCGCCTGGTGATTTTCAAAAATCAATTAATTTTTATTAAACCTTAAGACTTACTGTTTTTTATCAATAACCTACTGAAGAGAAAAAAATAGTCGTTTATAGTTACTATAAACTATATAGTTACTATAGTAGCTTATAGTTACTAGCTCTATTGGATTGTGACTTCTCGGGTAATTACATTATACTAAAGACAAAGCAATAATGACAGATGCAGCAGATTTTGTAACACCAGGTTAAACTTTCTAGCCCATTTACAGCACTGACATACATAAAAAAAAAAACAATAGACTTGGGTCTATTGGTGTGTTTGTGCGCGTCATTGCATACAAGGTTTCTGTATTTATAACCACCACCTCAGAGAATATTGGGGGTCACGAGTCACTGGCATTGTCATTTTGGGGGTCGCGGGCTGAAAAGTTTGGGAACCCCTGATTTAGCAGACGCTTTAGTCCAAAGCGACTTACAAATGAGGACAAGGAAGCAATTTACACAACTATAAGAGCAACAATGAATAAGTGCTATAGGCAAGTTTCAGGTCTGTAAAGTCTAAGAAGGAAAGTATTACTACTTTTTTTTTTTTTTTGGGGGGGTACAGTTAGTGTGATATCCAGAGAGGCAACTGCAGATTAGGAAGTGAAGTGGAGACTAAACAGTTGAGTTTTTAGTCGTTTCTTGAAAATAGCGAGTGACTTCAGTTCATTCCACCAACTGGGCAGATTGAGTGTGAGCTTTCGCGAAAGTGATTTCTTCCCTCTTTGGGATGGAACCACGAGGCGACGTTCATTCACAGAACGCAAGTTTCTGGAGGGCACATAGATCTGCAGAAGCGAGAGCAGATAAGAAGGAGCTAGGCCAGAAGTCGCTTTGTAGGCAAACATCAGAGCTTTGAATTTGATGCGAGCAGCAACTGGCAGCCAGTGCAAACGGACTAGCAGCGGAGTGACATGTGCTCGTTTAGGTTCATTGAAGACCACTCGTGCTGCTGCGTTCTGGAGCAGTTGAAGAGGCTTGATAGAGTTAGCTGGAAGCCCAGCTAGTAGAGAGTTGCAGTAATCCAGTTTGGAGAGAACAAGAGCTTGAACAAGGAGTTGAGCTGCATGTTCAGATAAGAAGGGTCGGATCTTTCGGATGTTATAGAGTGTGGTCAGAGAAGTTTAGTTGGTCATCAATCGTTACTCCAAGGCTTTTCACCATTTTGGATGCAGTAATGGTTGCCCCATCCATCTGGATTGAAAAGTTATGGTGTAGAGTCGGGTTGGCAGAAACTACAAGCATTTCCGTTTTTGCGAGGTTCAGCTGAAGATGATGATCTTTCATCCAGTGTGAAATATCCAACAGGCAGGCTGAGATGCGAGCTGGAACCGAGGGATCATCAGGATGAAAAGAGAGGTATAGCTGGGTATCATCAGCATAGCAGTGGTAGGAGAATCCATGTCTCTGGATGACTGGACCTAGAGATGACGTGTAGATGGAGAAGAGAAGTGGCCCAAGAACAGAGCCTTGAGGTACCCCAGTGTTTAGATGCTGTAGGTTGGACACCTCTCCCCTCCAAGACACCCTGAATGACCTGTCAGAGAGGTAAGATCTGAACCATTGTATAACAGTGCCCGCAACGCCCAGTGACTCGCGCATAGATAGCAGGATCTGGTGGTTGACAGTATCAAAAGCAGCTGACAAGTCCAGCAAGATGAGGACTGATGATTTTGAGTCTGCTTTAGCCAGTCTGAGATCCTCCACGACCAAGAGCAGGGCAGTCTCAGTTGAGTGGCCTTTCTTAAAGCCGGATTGCTTGTTGTCCATGAGATTGTTTTGAGTAAGAAAGTCCAGGACTTATATCTGCTCCACAAGCTCCGCATGACTCTTCCTCTGGCTCTGCGCCAAGCAGATTGATTTTTAACATCTTATGAGGTGATGTAGTAAAGTAATAATTCTAAATAGACTGGTTTAAACGTACGCTTCAGGGATTCTTCCACCTACTACTAGTGGTATGTGTACCACAGTTTGAGAACCACTGCTTTGCTTTAAAGTATTCAAGTTGTGAAACAAAAGTTTGTCATCTTATCAGCATCACCTCAGGAAATGTGAAATTCAGCGGCAAATTCCTTTCCTTGTTCAAACATGCACTGTATTTTCCAAGGCAAACACACTTTAATCCATTGAGATGTTTACATAAACCCCTTATAACTAGCTGTGGGATCAATATCATTATAAAGTGCCCTTTGTTGTCCCCATCACAATCATGGAGTTATTTTGGCCATTTTGTGTAATAATGCTATTCTGGTTGGATACATGAATAAGTACTTTAATACACTTTTGTACAATAATAACTGCATTTAAGTTGGTTTTCTTTATTTTATTCCACTTTCTTCTAATGCATTACTGCCCTTCTCTTGTGTCCCTCATGCTGGACAGCAGACATCAACCCAGCCTAATGATGATAAAAAAACACATAATCAAACAAATTTCCACTTTCCTTTATTGTTGCCATTAGATAATAGCAAATAAAAAAAAGGTTTTTGCCATTTTATTTGTATTTTTACAAAAATATCTTCAATTTCATATTTGTCCCTTAACCTAATGTCCACCCTGTCATTATGGGTCACTCGGCCCTTTAATTACTTATATAATGCAATCAGTGACATCATCACCAGAAGGTTGACATATTTGAACTGAGATCAGACTAACAGCATCAAGAAGAGTAAGTACTTTGTCTTATTTTTCATGTTTATCATCATTTTATGTTCATTGTTTGATGTGGTCACGCATAACATGTCCACCCTGTTGGCGTGAACATCTGAAAAGTAAATATTTTTTTCGCCAAATGTTTAGGTATATTTTTCAAAATACTTCAAAGTCACCTTCAAGTTAGCTGGTTATGCTAGCTAGTGTCCCACCATGTGCTTAATAAAAGCAGATTAGCTAAAATTGTCCACCCTGTCATCAAGGCTGTAATGACAGGGTGGACATCAACCGCTGAGATGGGTAACATAAGACTACGTATCACATTTAATGACAATTTAGAAACAATAAAACTGATTGTGAAAAACACATTTTACTGCATTTAATGTGTGCTAATAGAATTCATTTTTTTAGAAGTATAGGACTTAAAATAGCTGAGATAGCAAGGCGTTACAGAGAGCGTCGAGATGCAGATCCAGACAGAAGAAAGCAGTATCTTGAGGGAGAGAGAGACAGGTGGCAAAGAGACAGGCAGACTGAAAAGAAAAAGAGTGTCAGTGAAATAAGTGAGCGCAAGAGGAGAGAAAAGAGAAAGAGATTTCATATATATTTTATTTTTATTTTTTTAAATTAGAAAGAACTTACATATAAGTATATATATAACTATATATATAAGAGAAGGGACGGAAATATTTTCCAAAGGTGTTATTTTTAGAATGATAACACTGTCAGAAATATTTGCTTTCTGTATCCATTTGTCCCTGACAGGGTGGACATATTTTGTAAGTTGGTCCAAATGTTTTTGCTTATAATTGTTTTATTAAAGGTCCAGGAGCTGGACCAACCATCAATTGTTGAAGTTCAAAGTCTTCTTAAAAGAATAAACATGTGGTTTAACGAAAAACTTCAACACTGTCTTTAAGAAATGTTTATCTGTCAAAGGCACTCTATAGAGATATGACTTGTTTTAATGTGTAAATGTTAGCATTCACAAAAATCCAAGGGTTCCAAGGGACTATATAAAAGCCAATTACTATAGAAATTCACTGTGAAAAATACTTATACCATTAAAAACTAATGAAAAATAAGTGTAATTTCTGCCAACATTTGGTAAACTACATATTCCTATGATAGTGACTACTGCAATCTTATTTTGTGTTTAACAAAAATAGGATTTAAACCACTTGAGGATGAGTAAATGTTTTAGTTTTTAGTGAACCATCCTTTTAAAAGTGAACGGAAGTAGTGAAACCAGACGGTTTGATTCATCTCTGTCACTAATTAGCTATACATCCATGTGTAGGCGGAGAGTTTGATGTTGTCATATCTTTTCCGATGGATCCAGTCTGGATAGGCGGGATTTAGGGGATTAAGGTGAGTCAGGATTGCAAAACCCTCAGCGGATAGTCGACCCACCCTGCCAGATTCAGTCGCGTGGATTAATGTTTGTGAGTTTGTATTTTCTTCCGTCTGTTTTACTGTAATTGCAGCGACTTTCTTGAGTTCCTACAGAACCATGCAGGCATTGACTGGTAAAAAAAAAAGTGGAATTCTAAATATTTAGTTTCGCTTTTCGTGTGAACTGTTTGGCTCTTTCTCAAAATGCACAAACCCTTTTTTCGAATCTAAACGGAGAACAACAGTCTTATTTAATTTTAGGCATTTCTGTAGTGGTTTGCGAGACAGTATGTACATTTGAGGGTTGTTTAGGCTTTCTTTTTGTTTTACTACTAGTGTGAAGTTACTATTGGAGGAGTTTGTAATGCAATTCTGGATTGAGGTTGGTTTTGTATTCGTTCAGTGACAACTTGTCACAACTCCATTTAGTGTTTACCACGCTACTTTGAATTTTCGGTCTGAAATTGTATGTAAACACGACTTCAAAACAACATTAGCACTGTTTAATTGAGTGTGAACAGTGTTGTACTTTGATTATCATTGGCTGCTAATGAATTTGCAAATGATACTTTTCTAAAATTAGCCTAAATTATTTAGAAAGTATGAAAGTCTGAATATAAAACAACTTGAGCTCAGTAACCAACGACTATCAACAATATTGTTCTCAGTGAAGTAAATAGTGCTAATGTTGTTTTGTGGTGGAACTTGAATGTAACTTTCAGACCAAACATTCAAAGTGCCTTGGTAAACAATATAGTGCATATCAAAAGTTGTCACTGAAACAAGTGCAAATATAAAAGCAACTTTACCTTAATGAGGATTGTTTAGGAATTATTTCTTTCTAAAGTTCAAATTTTGGAGGAGTTTGTTAAGTCAAGTTGTTTTTATATTAGCACATTCCTTCAGGGATAACTCCATATAATGAGCCTCTAAGTGCCATCTGTATTTGTTCTAATATAAGCATTTTTCTCGGGCTTCTATGTCTTGATTCAGTCATTTAACTTTTATGTCAAAGTTATTTTTTTATAATTTTAACATGAAATAACATATGCACAAGAGGCTCAGAAAAATGCTCATTGTAGAAGAAAATTCCAGATGGCACTTAGAGGATTTTGCCTCTGAACTCTTCAGATATTGTTTACCATGCTGCTGTGAATATTCGGTCTGAAATTGCATGTAAATATGACTTCAAAACAATATTAGCATTATTTAATTGACCATGAACAATGTTGTACGTTGATAGTCATTGGCTGCTAATGTGATTTCACCATTTAGAATTAGCAAAGGATACTTTTCTGTCTGAATGTGTGAATATAAAACCAACCTTACCTCAATTTTGACAGTTTCTCAGAACAACAGTCTGTCATTTCATTTTAAGCCCTTCAGGGGTTTGCAAGACCGCATGTAACTTTAGGATTTCTTTCTTTTTATTTTAATACTTGCGTAAAGATAAAATATTGGAGGAGTTTGTAAGGTGGAGTTGGTTTTATATTCGCTCATTTGTTCAGTGACAGCTTGTCACAACTCCATTTATTGTGTTTACCACGCTGCTTTGAATGTTCGGTCTAAAGTTGCATGTAAATATGACTTCAAAACAACATTAGCACTATTTAATTGCCCATGAACAAATGTTGTACTTTGATAGTCATTGGCTGTTAATATGATATCCCCATTTAGAATTCGCAAAGGATACTTTTCTGAAATTGTTTTATTAAGGGGAAAGACTAAATGTGTGAATATTAAACCAACTTTACCTCAATGTGTAACTTTACCTTAATATTAGCAACCAACAATTATCAAAGTACAACATTGTTCACAGTCAAATAAATAGTGCTCATGTTGTTTTCAGATTATACATGTATGTGATTTCAGACCGAATATTCAAAGTACTATGGTAAACAATATAGGGAACATGTCACGAGTTGTCACTGAATCAGTGTGCGAATATAAAACCAACTTTACCTCAATAAGGATTGTTTAGGATTTCTTTCTTTATATTTTACTACTTGTTTGAAGTTAAAATATTGGAGGAGTTTGCAAGGTCATGTTGGTTTCATATTAGCTCATTCGTTTAGTGACGAGAGAGATGCAAAAACCTCAGGCTCCTATGTCTTGATTCAGTCATTTCACTTTTAAGGCAAAGAACAGGTTATTTTCATCATTTTAACATGAAATAACTGAACATAAACATAAGAGGCTGAGAAAAAATGCTCATTGTAGATAAAAATTCAAGATGGCACTTAGAGGATTTTGCATTTGAATTCTACCGATATTGTTTACCATGCTACTGTGAATATTCGGCCTGAAATTGCATTGCAAACATGACTTCAAAACAAAATTAGCACTATTTAATTGACCGTGAACAATATTGTAAAATTGATTGGGTGTTATTGACGATAGAATTTGCAAACATTACTTTTTTGAAATTGTATTATTAAGAAGAAAGTCTGAATGTGTGAATATAAAACCATCCTTACCTCAATAAGTAACTTTACCTTAATATTAGCAACCAACGACCATCAAAGTACCATGAACAATGTTGTACTTTGATAGTCATTGGCTGCTAGTGATGATAGAATTTGCAAAGGATAATTTTCTAAAAGTAGCCTATATTATTAAGAAATATTAAACCAGCATTACCCCAAGAGGTAATTGTACTTTAATATTGGCAACCAACGATCATCAAAGTACAACATTGTTCAAAGTCAAATAAATAGTGCTCATGTTGTTTTGAGGTTATGCTTGAACGTGATTTCAGACCATACAAAGTGCCATGCTAAACAATATAGGGAGAGACTCGAGAGAGCATGTCAAAAGTTGTCACTGAACCAATGTGCGACTATAAAACCTACTTTACCTCAATGATGATTGTTATGATTTCTTTCTTTCTGTCTTACTACTTGTGTGAAGTTTAAATGTTGGATGAGTTTGTGGACAAACTTGTTGACCACCTTTTATATTTATGAACAGTAGAAAAGGCAAACACCACAACCAGGTTCAGTTTGGAACATGGGTGAAACAGCTGGAAGAGAGCATGGGACTGTTACAAGATCAGCTGAGGTGAAGATTTGAAAACACTTTAACACATTTCATTAAACATGTACACATAGTTTAAGTTCTTTTATTTATAGAATACATTTAGTAGAGTCACAAGACTGACCAAAGTGCTGTACATAAGACAAAGTAAAATAAAAAGACCGGATATAAGAACAGAAATGAGGCGAGAAACGACTGAAAATGTAGCAGTAGAAAGAAATATTAAGATAATATTAAAACGCCAAGCTTTAAAGGTATGTTTTATGGATTGATTTGAAAATAGTGATGAAGCCATTCTAATCTCTAGGGGCAAGGTGTTCCTTAACCGAAGATCTGCCACAAAAAAGAACTATCCCCTCTATGTTTCATCCTGGACTGAAGAACTAAAAGCAGATTTTGATCACTTGATCTAAGACAGGCGTGTCCAAACTACGGCCCGCGGGCCATCTGCGGCCCGCAATCAGTTTTGTGGCGGCCCGCGAGGCTTTTTATAAATATTAATAGAATCTGGCCCGCTATACAAAAATGAACGTAATTCAATAAATAACCACCGGGTGTCGCTATTACATGCATTCAATTAAGCAGCAGTTCTTGTTATTATCTATCTATCTATCTATCTATCTATCTATCTATCTATCTATCTACCTATCTATCTACCTACCTTCCTACCTACCTACCTACCTACCTACCTACCTACCTACCTACCTACCTACCTACCTACCTACCTACCTACCTACCTACCTACCTACACACACACACACACACACACAGTTGAAGTCTGAATTATTAGCCCCTCTTTGATTTATTTCTTCTTTTTTAAATATTTGCCAAATGATGCTTAACAGAGCAAGGACATTTTTACCGTATGTCTGATAATATTTTTTCTTTTGGAGAAAGACTTTTGTTTTATTTCGGCTAGAATAAAAAGCGGTTTAAATTTTTTTATGAACCATTTTAAGGTCAAAATTATTAGCCCCTTAAGTCTTCAGAACAAACCATTGTTATAAAATAACTTGCCTAATTACCTTAACTTAACTAGTTAACTTGATTAACCTAGTTAAGCCTTTAAATGTCACTTTAAGCTGTATAGAAGTGTCTTAAAAATATCTAGTCAAATATTATTTACTGTCATCATGGCACAGATAAAATAAATCAGTTATTAGAAATGAGTTACTAAAACTATTATGTTTAGAAATGTGTGGAAAAAAAAAAACTTCTCTCCGTTAAACAGAAATTGGGGAAAAAATAAACGGGGGCTAATAATTTAGGGGGGCTAACAATTCTGACTTCAACTGTATTTATATATATATATATATATATATATATATATATATATATATATATATATATATATATATATATATACACACACACACACGTGTCTGTGTGATGTATGTAAAATTTGGCCCGCGACAACGTTTGTTTTTTTGCATCTGGCCCTCGGCCCAAAAAGTTTGGACACCCCTGATCTAAGAGATCTCATGGGAGTGTAAAAATGCAACAGCTTTTAGAGATAGGTTGGGGCTGGATTATGAAGGGATTTAAATACCAATTAAGGCACTTTAAAATCACTTCTGAATTGGACGGGCAGCCAATGAAGGCCCCTTAGCAGAAAATATGACCTCATTACCCCAATTCTATTACAGATGAATCTCGCAGCAGCATTTTAGACCAACTGAAGGCGGGAAATTTAAGATTTTGAAATGCCACAGTAAAGTGCATTGTCGTAGTCTAATCGTGATGTAATAAAAGCGTGGACATCTGTAGTGTGGTGGCATGTAAACATCACGTATATGCTATAACATTGCAGGTTAACCATGTCTGTATATAATACCTTGTATTTAATTGTAACTTTTAACTTAATTTGATTGTAATGCAATAATATGCACCTTTTGTGTGGCTGCTTTGAAATAACTATTATTGTAAAAAAGCGATATTCATTGAATAATACAGTTTAATTCAGTTGAACTTTAAATCTGATTTTGCAATAAGCCAGTCTTGATGTTGTATTGACTTTCATTCCGCACATGTGACAGTGGCATTGTGAACTCAGTTTTGTCGCTTTAACCGAGTAAAATCTGCATTTGTCTAGTACATTGGCTCGTTTCCTGTGGATGACAGTTGTTTGGATGATCAGATTCAACAGCTGCACACTCAGCTGAAGTCTCTCAAGGTAATTTGTGTGCTGTGAAACGAGTCTCAAGAGTATGTTTGCTTTTCATATTTGTTTACCATGTGAAATTACACTTGACTGAATAAATTTTTTAATGGTCTTTAGAGCCTTTACATCTAAATGTGTATGCACTTGAAATTAGTTTGTGCAGACAATTACAAATTATGCACATACATCAGTTTTTAATGACTTGCTATTATTGTGCAAAGTGGAAAGTAATCATAATAAAGATAGCTGGATGATTTACAAACATCTGTATCTGCAGAACTGCAAGAGCAAGCGAACCGTGTCTTTGAGATTTTCTGTCAAAGGAGTCAAAGTTTATGATGAAGATGAGACGGTAAGATGGTGTTTTTCTGTGTCTAGTTTGCCATATACATTTAAAATATACTTTTGCAGCTTGTTCAAACTGCTTATTTAAAAGGAGTTTAAACAACATTCCTGATTCTTTTGTAAAAACATAATTGTTTTATGTTCAATCCATTATAAAAGACAATTAAACAGCCCGTAGGTGAAAGGGGGGGTTCTTTTTTTCTCAAAAAGTGGACCTTTCTGTAATTATATGCCTCATTTTCTTTTGAATTATGAAATTTAAATACTGCATTTTAGTGACATTTTAAGCACTATTCTGAATTAGCTTTTTGGAGGGTCACCATAACCACACTTTTTGACTATTTTAGCCAAAATAGCATTCAAATTAATTTGATTATGGGCCACTTTTGGTGCGTCACATTTTTTTATTGGTAATTTTTTTTGTGTCAAGAATAATACTTAACTTAAAGTATAAAACTATTTGTTAGTATTGGCCAAAACTGATTAGCAGAAGTCACACCCAAGCTGTTTTCTCTTAAAGCTTTTTTGATGGGTTATTTTTACCATGATGGCATAGCAGTCAGAATAGAACAAATGAGCTCATGTATGGAACAAATTCTGGACCTTTGTTAGTGAGAGGTGGGTCTTCCGAACCCCCCCTTGCTGTGGGCCTGTTCAATTAATTTAATCGATTTGTGTTGCAACAACATTGATGAAAAGTATGTCACAGTTTTATGCAAAAGTTTGTGCTAGTTGTGCTTCTCTTTTTAAATCTTCTACATTGTAAATCGGCAAGTAGTTACGTGGGAACCTCAAAAGAACTTCATAATAACCTAAAAACGAGGATATTAATCAACATAAATTAGGAGAAGGATGCAAATATCTATTACAAAGATTTAAAGTCTCCACAATCAGAAATATAGTAAGAAAATGGAAGACCACAGGAACGGTTATTGTGAAGGAAAGATGTGGTAGGACCCAAAATACCCAAAGCACAGTTCTAGATCTACTAAGGAACTCATGCTCAGACATGATACGATGTTCTAGAATGTCCATCCCAGTCCTCAGACTTCACGCAAGGGTCATTCACGCTCAGCACCCATCAAATCTGAGTGAACTGGAGAAATGTTGCAAGGGAAAATATTCCAAAATGCCTTCAAGACTTCAGGGACTTATCCTTGGTTATAAGAAGTGCCTACACGCTGTTATTTCAGCGAAAGGTGGCTGTACAAAAGATTGATGTCATTATTCTGTTGGGGTGCCCAAATTTTTGCACCTGTCTGTTCTTTTTAAACTTAAATTGCATCGCATCTGTTGATTAAATGAATGTTATGTTAGAACTGAAATGTTGCTTCTTTCCTTAGGGCAGGGATCACCAAACTTGTTCCTGGAGGACTGGTGTCCTGCAGATTTTAGAGCTCCAACCCTAATCAAACACACCTGAACAAGCTAATCGAGGTCTTAAGCTGCGGTCACACTGGGCTTTTCATTCCGTAGACTTCCACTAATACGCACGCGAATGCGTCACACCGGAAACGCAGGGTCATGGGTCAAGTATCGCAAGTTGCTGCCATGCAAAGTTCAAGCTTGGTGAACTCTGACCTGCGAAATCGCATCACTTGACTGCATGAGACAATCGAGGATCCAAACATGACCTCTCTGGACAGAAATTTAAAACATGAAGCAATCACTTGCTTTTTTAAATGTCTAATAAGCTTGTTTAATCCTGCCCCTTTACGTAAAGCCGTACGACAGAATTTTGCAAACTCAAACCCTGGTGTGACCACAGCTTTAATAGGTATATTTGAAACACCCAGGCAGGTGTGTTGAGGGAAGTTAGAGCTAAACCCTGCAAGGCACCGGACCTCCAGGGACGAGATTGATGACCCTTGCCCAAGGGGATAAAATTTATCCGAATGAAATTGCTCATTTGAAAGGCCAGCAGACTATGGTTTGCAATTATAAAAATTATCAAGGGTGCCCAAATTTGCATAAAGCTGTAAATATTCTAATGATGTTTGCTGCTTTTTCAAACTACGTATTAAAAATGTTGAAACAACACCATTCTTTTTTTTTGTTTGTGGCAACTTGTTTTGTTCAATTCACTTAAATTTGTAAAAAATAAATATTATAACATCTTAATTGATTTGAGTTGCAACAACATGAAAGAATTGTGTGAAACCCAGCATTTTTTGTGTAAATTTTAGATGTGGGATTTTTTTTTTGTAAACATTTTCACTTAATAATACCTAGTAAGTATCAAACTTGATTACAAACTCTATTTTAATTTGACTTTGAGTTGTAGGTTGTAAATAAATCTGTGTGGTGTGTTTCTCATTAGACGCTGCTCATGGCTCATGCGATGTGTCGAGTCTCCCTGTCCACCGCCCGTCCCTCTGATGCCCAGTTTGCCTTTGCCTCTCATAATCCTGGAAATTCTGATGCCCAGCTCTATTGCCACCTCTTCAGAGCCAGACATGCCCGTGCTGTAAGACTCTCCATAATGAAATCTCTCAACCACAAAGCTGTAACTGTGATTTAATCACTTCAGTTATAAAGCATTGAAGGCTGTTTGTAATATTGCATGTCTGTTCTAGATTCAGGGATTTGTTTTTTCAAGTTGCAGTAATGATCTTTACTGCCAAAAATGCAGAATTTTATCTGATTGCTTTGCTAAACACAGAGATAGGATTAAGAGGGTGTTCACACTTCATATGTCTGGTGGTTTGATTAAAACAAGTGTGTACTAATTTAAAAACGAAAAACAAAAAGAGGGCTTTTTGTCTGCTTTAAATCTAATTTTGACGTGGTTGGTGGTTCAATAAAAATATCAACACAAGATGGACTAAAGCAGGGGTGTCCTGCAGATTTTAGCTCATCCTTGCAGATGTGTTGAGGCAAGTTGGTTTCTAGAAAGCCTAGTAAGAGCTTGATTAGCTAGCCCAGGTGGGTCTGATTGGGGTTGGAACTAAACTTTGCATGACACCTCCAGGACAGAGCTTGGACATGCCTGGACTCAAGGGATCTAAGATGTTTGTTTAATCTTTCTTTTTGTCCAAAATTATTTTACAAGTGCGAAAACCCCCCAAGATACATACAGGAAAAAATGCTCAAGATTCTTATGTATTAAATTTTTTGTTTTTCCCAATTAAAGGCCCAGTTCCTAAACCTGCTTCTTTGCCGCTGTTTTCAACTGTATTTTCTGGAGAAGCACCCAGAGGAAGCTCAGGAGGAGTGTTCGGGGAAGAAGCCGAGTCGAGCTCCATCGTTGCTGAACCAAGGGTTTCCCCTCAGTGTGAGCGCCTTGGTTTCTTTCCGCAGGGCCCCAACTCAAGGTCTGCTGCCAGGAGCTAAGGTTTGTTCTTACTGTATCTAGCATATATTGATTTTTAACAATTTAACTTATGAATTAAAAGCAGTTTGGGAATGTAAAAGGTCTGCAAAGAAGATTTAAAGTTTATTTATATGGTTATCATGAGCATTTAGAGTGTAAGGATTAAAAACTAACCTAAAGCGCTATCTACTTATAAAAACAAAGCTCAGAATTTGATTAAAAGGAGAATTGCGTATGCATGTGATGCTTAATTTTTTTTTAAATCACAGTCTATTTCTCAAACACCTTTTTAATTTTTTGTATTTTTTTATTTTTTGCGCACCCCACAGCTCTACTGTAACTAATCTCAACACCGGAGCTAAAATACACAAGTAATGGCTGTAAGAAGTAGACTAATAACAACTGACTGGGCAATCAGAGCAGAGAATGCTCACTGAGGGAGAGGGATTTATAGACAACAGATCCTGAGAAGAGCATGACCATGAATGAATTAAAATGTAAACCTTTTCTTGGAAAATGCTTAAATGACATGATAGGGGTGCTTTTATAAATAACCCTCACTATTTCATTAACTACTACTACTTTAGTTTTTCCAATAGTTTGAATGCTATACTGTTCTGCATTTTGTTAATCTCTATTCTTTAAACAGTTGTTTTCACAGCAGAGCACCGAGCAAGTGAGCAGTCCTGAAGAGGGCCCTACTTCCTCTCCAACTATAGTTCGTAAAATGGCGATCCGGACCAAAGAGCTGCGCTCTGGAGCTTATCGCTCTTTTACATTTACCCCCCTCAAACAGCGTCATCTGCAGGACAAACTGAGTGCACCACAAGGTGGGATGAGTGTTCATAGAACACTTTCGAGACTGAAAGAGTTCCTTAGGTAATGCACACATCTAGTTAAAAGTAGTTGGTTTAATAAAGTCACGATGGGTTAATTTGGTCATTGGTGGTTGGTGAGTTAAGGAGGTGGTGGGGATTATCAGCTGCCACTATTATCATTATGTCTTATTTATTATGATAAGTCAGTATTATGTGTGCTTCTCAGAATATTACAGAAATTCTTTCCTAAAATAAAACTGAACTTTCGGTCAATCTGAAATAGGATCAGTGCAATGCTTTCTTTTGCCAAATAAAATAAACTTGGTCAAGTAATTTGTGAAGCCAATGAGAACTGAGCTCCTGTGGGAATCTTAAGAATCTTTTGTTTTTGTGAACCAGAAAAGGAACAAGCCACTGCAAAGGCATGCATGTCTCGAGCTCCCAGTTTGGCCGAAACAGAAGAAGCACTGGCTCAAGCTGTGTGGTGTTGGGCTGGCGTGTCTAGGTCAGTATTAGTGCACAATGACTTTGACGTCTGTTGTTCGGTTAAACATCAGGGTTATAATCTGTTCTTTTTATTTCTCAAGTAGTATATCCTAAGGAGGTCATGTGATGCTATTTTAAATGAGAAGTTCACCCAAAAAATGACAATTCTGTTAATAATTCCTCACCCACTTGTCGTTCAAATCCCCTCAGACATGTTCATTTTTAGAAAACATATCGGGAAGTTTTATAAACTAATTTTGAGAGGATCACAGGCTTCTGATGCATCACAGCTGGTCTCGCATCATCAATCACTAACTAATCAGATGTTTCCAAACGCACATAAATAGTCTACTTTCCTTACCTTAGTCATCTTCGTTTTTTTGAAGTCCCCAAAGTCCCTATTGAACCAGTTGACACTTCTGTGCAGAGTTTTATAAGCAGTGTATCGATCCCTATAATTTGCCAATAACAAGTCGGGGGAGTTCATCGAGCTCTACCTTAGCTCAAACTCCCCTTTTGTCCTGCTAACGGAAGGGAGCCCTGGGCTCGAGGATCTTATAAGCTCAGGGCTCTCTCAAGGGACAGCATGCAAAACAAGCTTTCATTATCAATCATCGGCTAAGTGCGAACTCTTAAAATCTCTATTTAAAAAAATCTTTGTGTTGAGTATTTGGTGTTTCCATTACAGTGACTGTAGCTCCTCACTGCTGGCAGATGATGTTTTGGGTGCTTTCCTTCTCTGTCCTCATCCCAAAAAGCCCAATCGTGGATCTCTTATAGTTCGTTTTTCCTCTGGACTGGTAACTTATGCTATTAAGAATTCCAAAGGGAAGTTCCGGCTTGAGGTGAGCAAAGTTTTTACTAAACATTAGTCATTAATTTTCCTTTTCGGTCAGAATGTTTAATCTAGTCAATGTTTAATCTTCATTTACAGAAGTGCCACACTGACTTTGAAAGCCTTGCTGCTTTAATGGAGCACTACACAGAGTTCGGTGACGAGCTGGAATGTTCTCTGAGCTGCGCACGCGTCAACCACTGTTACGACTGGGAGGAGATGGTGAATAAGGGTTCACGTTTACTGCAGGACAACAAAAAAGGCACTTTTAAATGCCGAAGTTGGGTTTGAATCATGTATTTCTTTTTAGATCTCATTTTTATGCTATATTTTACTTAGTTTTAGGTATTTGTGGAGCTGTTGATTTTAATAAGCTTCCCAAACAACAGTATCTCAGGTCACTGGCACAGTTTTTGATATATATACTTTATTTTTTTTTTAATGAACACATTTGTTTTTGCCTGTTGGCAGTAACCTCAACCCAACCTCTAAAACACTCACTTTATTGGTGTGTTTTTCTTTTTTTCTTAGGTTTTTTTTTTGGTTGAAAGTTCTTTTATAGGGAAACAAGCACTTATGTTTTTCATGTCAGTGTCAGATTTAAATGTGTACTCAACATTTGTATAGAGTGCATACTGTATATATTTGTTTTACTAACGCTGTATTATGTCTTTAAAATCATGTTTTTGTATGTTGATCTTACATCAGGCTCTTTTTCTCTCTTGTTTTTATGATGGCAATAGTTTAAGAGAGAATATTTAGTGATAACTTCAAACCCCAAATTGTCTATCACAAATTTATTAACAGTTTTTTTTTTCTTGTACTAATTAATATTTTTGTATCTCTTGCACATTGCACCTCTCAAATACACACAGTTTCTATTGTTAGCTTTGCACCAATGTAAATGAAGTGATTTGCCTCCTTTACATAAACTGATTTTACACTTATAATTGCCTCCTGTAATGTTTTGCAAAAAAAGATTGTTACCAATTAAAAACACCAATTAATAATATATAGTTATCAAATTTTGACTAGATAATTTTATATATTGACATAAAAATGATCAAAATTTGATATCTATCAATGTGACACGGTGATTCGCCTCACAGCAAGAAGGTCACTGGTTCAAGCCCCGGCTGGGTCAGTTGGCATTTCTGTGTGGATTTTGCATGTTCATCCAGTGTTGGCGTGGGTTTTCCCAGGTGCTCCGGTTTACCCCACAGTCCACAGAGGCTATATGTAAATTGAAAAAACTAAATTGGCCGTGGTGCATGTGCATGGATGTTTTCCAGTAATAAAAGGGCTGTGTAAAATATATACTTAAGTTGATGGTTCATTCTGCTCTGGGGACGAAGGGACTAAGCCAAACTAAAATGACAATGAATGAATGATATCTATCAAGTATGTTATTCAACCGTCTATCAGAGTGACATTCATCAAGGCAGAACCTTTTTTTAATGGGAAATATACAGTAAAAATCTATAACACTGAATCTTTCTAAATAATATGCAATTAGATGCCATTTAAATTTAAGCTAATGTAATAAGTATGGAGGAGTGTCCATGATTGTCGTGGTTGTATAATTAAAAAATGTTTGTTAATGAACACTAAATGATCGAAGAATAAGTTGCATGACTATGATTTATTAATGTTTGAGTAAAATATAACTGGCTTTATAATCTAAACAGCCAATGACATTTGCTCCAAAGTTAAAATAAAGGTAATTTAGAGCTTTCATTGCTTAATAAAATATATTTTATATAATTTTAGAACTTTTTCATTTTTGACAATTATAAAAATGAATTTTAACTACAGAAGAGTTAGGTAGCCCCTGTTTGTTCTTTGCGAGCAGTTGTCAGTTTCTGAAAAGGAAAAAAACTTTCTAGAAAATGTTTTACTCAGATCCATAATTCAAGAAATCTGTGTGGTCTCTTACACGCAAAAAAAAAAACTTAAATCGACTTGTGTTGGGACAACATCGTGTGGAACCCTGCCTTTTTTACAGGGTAGGTGTATATACATGTATTTATTTAATATGTAGATGTAATTATATATTTATTTACATTTTATCTTATTGCAAGGGGCAGGTTTAGTGATTTGGGGGGGCTCAGCAATTCTAGCCATGAGGCCCAAACGTCTTAATATGCACCCTTTGTATTTATTTATTTGTTTGTTTGTTTATTTCTGTTGTTGACATTTAACTTCTCACTCAATCTTAGTTTCTAAAATTGTCTTACAATAATAATAAATAAATAAACTTCAAATAATAAATGGTTTCATTTTTAAAGCTAAATCTTTATCTGATTTGTCTGATGGAATACACCATTATTAAACACATTTGCACAGACGTAATAATTACAATGCAATTTTAATTACTGGACAAAATATGATAGAAAACGATGTTAAATATAAATAATGTATAGGTATATTTTTACTTGTAAGTATTTATTGGGGTGCCCCAAATTTTCTGGGGCCCTAAGTGTATGCTTACCTCCCTTATTGGTTAAACCTGTCCCTGCTTATTGCATATTATTTCATAATATTCATTGCAAATTCATATAATTTTATTGTTTATTACTTTTGATATTTTTTATGTTGACTGGATGGTTTGCAGAAGTCTGGTGTTGTCTGATATTAATGTCTGACTGGCCCTTAAAATACATTTCCTTTTCTTTATAGCAAATGTATATCCACAATAATCAGTAGGTCTCGACTGTGTTGTCAATTATATTTTATCCAACGTACAACAATCAGTGCGCATGTCACTGGGGGCGCTTTGTACAGATGCAGCCGGTGCGTTTGAAGTTTGCGGTTGCCAAGCGACGCCGAACGCCACAGCAAAAGAAACACGCTGCTTTATTTAATGTGAGGCTGCCCTCAAGCAGGGGTTTCCGGAACCCGAACCAGATGACAGTCTTCTTAAACGCCGCTATAGTCTTCATAGGATGACCATGACACAAAACAAACTGGTTTTAGGAGCGGTATTTCCATTTATCCTCAGCAGATAAGCGAACACCACAGCATCCTGATGGCATCAGAGTCCGTGAAGGTGGTCGTCAGATGTCGGCCTTTAAACAACAGAGAGAAGGCGATGAACTGTAAAATTGTGGTGTCCGTTGACAGCACTCACTGTCAGTGTTTCATTAAGAAACCTGGGGACACGGAGGAGCCCCCTAAACAATTCACGTTTGACGGGACTTATTATATAAACCACTCCACTGAAGAGGTCTACAACGAGATCGCGTATCCTCTGGTGGAGGTAATATTGATGTTTTTTTGTGTGTATGATTTAGCATGACTGTAAGAGTCTCTGTAGAGACACTTAACTTTCCAGTGTGTGTGTGTGTGAATGCCAATATGTGTGTTATCTGATACCTGTTGTCCTTTATCTGAAACTAAACACCATAGAGTTAAAATCAGTCACGGAAGTAACCTACAGCCCTTCTTATAATTGATTATTTACTAGATGTGCTTGTAAGCTGGGCCCTTAAGTCTCTATATATACAACACTGAGGACCTGAATATCTATCTATCCATCCATCCATCCGTCTGTCCGTCCGTCTATCTGTCTATCTCTGTCTGTCTGTCGTTCTTTCATCAGCCTTATATTCTCATTCTTTTGCGTTACAGGGTGTAACTGAGGGCTACAATGGGACCATTTTTGCTTATGGACAAACAGGCAGCGGCAAGTCGTTTACAATGCAAGGTGTACCAGATCCTCCTTCCCAGAGAGGAATCATCCCTAGAGCTTTTGAGCACATCTTTGAGACAATCCAGGTAACCAGTTTACAAAACAAAACATTTTTTTTTCTAAGAGTTTATTTGCAAATTCAGATGACTAAATTACATATACAGTTGAAGTCAGAATTATTAGCCCCCTTTTAATTTTAATTTTCTTTTTAAAATATTTCCCAAATGATTTTTAACAGAGCAATGACATTTTCACAGTATGTCTGATAATATTTTTTCTTCTGGAGTAAGTCTTATTTGTTTTATTTGGGCTAGAACAAAAGCAGTTATTAATTTTTTTAAACACTATTTTAAGGTCAAAATTATTAGCCCTTTTAAGCTAATTTTTTTCGATAATCTACAAAACAAACCATCATTGTACAATAACTTGCCTAATTACCCTAACCTGTCTAGTTCACCTTATTAACCTAGTTAAGCCTTTAAATGTCACTTTAAGCTGAATAGAAGTGTCTTGAAAAATATCTAGTAAAATATTATTTACTGTCATCATGGAAAAGATAAAATAAATCAGTTATTAGAAATAAGTTATAAATATTATGCTTAGAAATGTGCTGAAACAATCTTCCCAGAACAGAACAGAAATTGGGGAAAAAAATAAACAGGGGCGCTAATAATTCAGGGGGGCTAATAATTCTGACTTCAACTGTACATATACAGTACAACTGTTCTAGAGTTCTGAAAAAATCTCAATCTGTTTTTGGAATGAAATCTTTTGTTTTAGCATGCTGCTAGCATGTTCAAAGTTGTTAACATGATTTAGAATATTGCTAGCATGTTTTGGCACATTTCTGTCATGTTTTTGTTTTATTTTCTATGTGACGAATCCTAAAACGTGTCACGATTTCCACTTTTTTCAGTATTGATAATAAAGAAATGTTTCTTGAACACAAAATCAGCTATTAAACTGTTTTTTGATTGTGTGATCCTAATGACAAGGGATGCACGATACTGGAAAAAACTGGCATTGCCACTGATATATTCTGTGTTATACACTCACTGGCCACTTTCTTAGGTACACCCTAGTATCGTTTTGCCTTCAGAACTGCCTTAAGGTACTGGAGATATTCCTCAGAGATTTTGCTCCATATTAACATGATAGCACAAAGCAATTGCTGCAGATTTGTCGGCTGCACATGCCTGATGCAAATCTCCCGTTCCACCACATCCCAAAGGTGCTCTATTGGATTGAGATCTGATGACTGTGGAGGCCATTTCAGTACAGTGAACTCGTTGTCATGTGCAAGAAACCAGTCTGAGATTATTTGCGCTTTATGACGTGGCGCGTTATTCTGCTGGAAGCAGCCATCAGAAGATGGGTACACTGTGGTCATAAAGGGATGGACATGGTCAGCAACAATACTTAGGAAGGCTGTGGCATTGACATTATGTTCAATTGGTACTAATGGGCTCAAAGTGTGCCAAGAAAATACCCCCACATTGTTACACCACCAGCCTGACACATTGATACAAGAAAGGATGGATGCATGCTTTCATGTTGTTGATGCCAATTCTGACCCTAGCATCCAAATGTTGCAGCAGAAATCGAGACTAATTAGTCCAGGCAATATTTTTACAATCTTCTATTGTTCAATTTTGATGAGCCTGTGTGAACGGTAGCCTGTTTCCTGTTCTTAGCTGACAGGAGTGGCACCCCTTGTGGTCTTCTGCTGATGTAGCCCATCTGCCTCAAGGTTGGACGTGTTTTGCGGTTAGAGATGCTCTTCTTGAGTTACTGTTGCCTTTCTATCTGCTCAAACCAGTTTGGCCATTCTCCTCTGACCTCTGGCATCAAAACTGCTCTCAGAACTGTCGCTCACAGGATATTTTTTATTTTTTGGACCATTCACTGTAAACCCTAGAGATGGTTGTGTGTGAAAATCCCAGAAGATTTCTGAGATACTCAGACCAGCCCATCTGACACCAACAACCATGCCACGTTCAAAGTCACCTAATTCACCTTTGTTCTCCATTCTGATGGTCAGTTTGAACTGCAGCAGACTGTCTTGACCATGTCTACATGCCTAAATGTATTGAGTTGCCGCCATGTGATTGGCTGATTAAAAATTTGCGTTGACGAGCAGTTGGACAGGTGTACCTAATAAAGTGGCCGGTGAGTGTATATTGCTGTAAGGCTTGAAGCTTACGCTGCTATTCTGAACCAATAATCGGAAACAGAAAGCAGTTGAAGGATGGCG